CAAGCTTATCTACATTGAAGGCAGCAAATATCTTGCCAGCACTCATGCTACGTCTTTGAAGTATATTGCGTTAACATAATTGACCCAACCTTTAAATTTTATTTGTCAGTGCCTCAAGGGAAGCAAGGAGAAGGAGTGGATCCCCGCCCCTGCCCGTTTCGATCTGGATGAACATCGTACCGGCGTGCGGTTGTGTATCACTACTGCGTGGTGCGCGTTAAAGACCCCAGGCTAGCAGTTGTACCGCGCAGGCTAAATTACTCTACAGCTGAGACAGCAGACGCACACTGAGGCAAGCTAACTTCCGACTGTATAAACATACACACAATTTTTTTTTTCAGAAGGAGTGGGATTATGTAGAGAAGCTAGTGGGTTTTTCTATGGGTACGAAGCTGTCGGAAGTAAGGTCAGAATGGAAAAAGCACCACGAAGTTCCGCCTGGTCCCAAACAGCCACAATAATGAACACGGAATTCAGAAGAATAGTAATACGAAGGACTTACGCAGGCAGCCACACTTTCTGAGTTCGCAATGACATTTGATTATGATCACAAATATTCCTGCTTTGCTCAAGGTGGCCTAGTTTACACACCATAATGGTGATCTTTAGTGGAGCAAGAATATTTTTTCTCAGAATTAAACGTCGTTGTTAACTGAACAAATGTAGCTGTCTGTGTAAGTCCTTCGTGTTTTTATTCTTTTTACTTCTGTGTTCATTATTTCAATTTTTTTTCATGATTTAGTCCTTTTGTTTTTGTTTCTTAAGTGTTCATTATTTTATTTTTTATTTTTATGAGATTTTAGTTCAACATATGATGCCCTCGTCATTTCCTAGTCCGGGAAGCAGTGGTGACCTCGTCGTGTTCAAGGAGCAGTGACGACCTTTTCATCTTGTATAGCTTCCGCGGCGAACAACGGTGTCTGTGTGCGTGTGTGATGTGTTAATCACACGGGAATATTTGACGACCAAACGGAAAAACAAGGCCAGCGAGGAGCGACTGGGGGCTTTGAACATCACACGGTGCAAGGAAGGACTTCAACGACGAGGCTAGCAAGCAAGCCCTTGTCAAAACTGCTGTGCTCAACCGGAGAGTTGAATCAGGAGTGTGACTCTGTGAGTAAGAATCAACGACTTTGGAACTTCCGTATAGTTTACAGCTTCATTGTTGCCTTCCATTTGTTTTATTTTAATAGGTGTCTGTGTGCTGATACATTTTTAGTTTATTTTAATGGTTGTCTGTGTGATATTACAGTTTTGTTCCTTATAATTTTTTTCTTGAACAGGGAAGTGCTTGTTTGGAGTTTTCACGCTTTCTTGTATAAAACTTCTTTTGCAAACCATACTCTCGGTCTGCTCTCTCGACAACCAATCCCGCCAAAGGGCTGTGACTTTCCGACGTCGAATGATATGTTACAATGTTTTCTAACTAGCGATCGCCTGCGTTCTATTTTTGTAGCATACATATTTGTTGAATGACAAATTCCGAACCAGGCCAATAAAGATTGGTCAGTGGACTATTTTGTAGATATATCTACGTGAACACACGTTTGGGGCAGTGTGGGATAGCAGTACGATGTATATTTTGTGGATACTCATAGAAATGCGTTATATGATCCCATGTCTGGACCTGGAAAGTATGGTAACTGTCCCATGGCAATAATTTTCATATGATGCCAGAAGGAGCATCACATGAAAATTGCTTTATATGGGTGGGTACCCTATCTACCAGACCCAAACACCGGATCATATAAAGCAGTCTATATATGGTATATAAGGAATTGGGCAGATATGGATATATAAGGAATTGGGCAGATATGGGTATATAAGGAATTGGGCAGATATGGCTATATCCATCCAGATATGGCCTGATTGTGCATATCTGGCCATATCTGCCCAATTCCTTATATATCCATATCTGTATTTTTTAATATAAGTCCAGATATGACATTTCTGTAAGGGAGAGTACAACGGACAGACGGGCCGCTGCCTCAACGACCGCCTGCGCGAACATGAGAGAGAAATCGAAAAAAACGACGAAGACTCCCAACACCCCATGGTCCATCACCTCAAGGCTTGCGCTCCATGTGCCCCCGAGTTCCCGTCCGCGCGTGTTCTGGGGGCCAACAAGAACCGCTACGGGCGCGAGATCGTGGAGGCGTTCGCCATAAAAGACTAAGAGGCGCCGAAGAACATTTCCTCGGCCTCGTTGTCGCTGTCCGAGAGAGAGGTGACATTCCTGAGACCGGAGTTGACGGCCTTGGCGGGCCGGGCGAGCGCCCCTTGCTCCTGAGAGGGAAATCGGGATGCTTCCTTCCTTCCTCTCCTTTCCGCTGTCTCTGCGCTTTACTTCCCCCAGTTTTTCTCCCGGGTCCTTGTCTTGCCCCCCCCCCCTCCGCCCTCCTTCCCCTTCCCCCTCCTTTTAACTTTCCCTCTCCTATAGTGGAGCTCCGAAGGCGAAGCCTCGGCAATAAATTCATTTGTTTGTTGGAAGTTGAAAGATGTCTTGTCCCGTCCCCTGTTTTTACGTATATAACTCTTTCTAAACCTACATCATTACCAACGCGCTCACTAAGAAGTTTACGAATTTGTAGTTGGCGCTCGCGGGAGCCGCCGCTGGTCACGTGGTAGGCCCGCGCGCCGCCGCGCTGCGTCGCCGCCGCACGCGTAGCGTTGTGCGAACGTAGCTTCAACGCGTTTCTCCACTCCGCCGTCGCCGCCGCCGCACAAGTTCGTCTGCTTCGGGGCGCCGCCGCCGTCGTCTGACCGGCGCACAGGTCTATCAGGTCTGCTTGCGCTTTTTCAGGAGTTTCCTTTGGGCTCTAAAAGTTACTTATTCATCTTAGTTTTTTGTTATACTTCGAACAATGATGAATAAGTTACTTTTAGAGGCCATATGAAGCTTCCGAAAACCACGCGAGAAATATGGGCCCGTCAAGGGCCACTTTTCCGCGGCGCCCGCCGCGGAAAAGTGGCCCTTGTTAGCAAGTTAGCAATGCAGTGTGCTTCACGGCGGCGAGGCGTGGGCCTGCCGAAATTAGAGTGTCCATATAAAAACCCCGTGGGACACAACTCAGCTAAACGTGGTCATGATGCAATGATGTGTGCTCATGGCTGCTAAGCTTGGGCGTTCCCGAGTTAGGCTAGCATGTAAAATCCCTTTGAGTCCGACCTCGGCACTGCGGCAGCCAAATTAGCGACGGTGTGGGCTCCAAGGCGGCAAAGCCCTGGCGTGTCCGACTTGGGCTGCCCATGTAAAACCGCCGTGGGCCCCACCTAGGCTGTGCGTGGACCATATTAGGGATGGTGCGGGCTCCACGTTGGCAAAGCATGTGGGTATCATCGACTTTAGCTGCGTAACTAAAAGCCCCGTGTGTCCCACCTATGCTCTGCGCGAGCCATGTTAGTAATGGGGAGGGGGGGGGGAGGGCTCCATAGTCGCAAAGCTTTGGCATATCCGACTTGGACTACCAGTGTAAAAACCCCGTGGGTCGCACGTGGACGGTGCATAGCCCACGCTAGCAATGGTGCGGGCTCTACGGGGGCAAGGTGTAGCATGCCCTTTTTGAACGGCCTAAGTAAAACCCCGTGGGTCCCACCACGGCTCTTCAGGCGCCAAGCTAGCAATGATGCGGGCGCCACTGTGGCAAGGCGTGGGCATATGCCCAACTTAAACCGCCCGTGCAATAACACCGTGGGTCCCACCTTGGTTATCCCCAGGCAGAGTTAGCAGAAACGTAGGCTTCTAAAGGCACAGCATGGACATACCCAACTTGGGCTGCCAATAAAATACCCCTGTTGATATGAAGACCCAGGAACAGCGGCAGCTTCACAAAACTGAAGAGCTTTAATTCCGACTTGCGTTCGATGCAAAAAAAAGAAGAAATGGTAATAAAAAAAAAGTGAACGAACTCCGCGCTCGCCGTCCACGAGCGCAGGCCCCGATCTCGTGTGCAGGCTTGCCATTGTGCTGCTCAACACTGCTTCGCTGGTACTCGACCAGTTTGATCTATTTTCAACACAATCCCGACCGCGAAATGAGTCACGCGCTGACCTCCAGGGGATAAACGCGTTGAACTGGTCGGTCGGTAATCGATCCATTTTGCAGTTTTACCTGCCAGGACCGTATATTACCGTCTCTTCCTCTGTGGGTCTTCAGCACCCTTCCCATTTGCCACAATTTTCTCGGTGCATTACTATCGTGCACGAGAACAACGTCGTCGACACTTAGGGTTGACGCAGAAGCTGCTTGCATATGGTGCGCCGATCGAAGCTGCAACAAGTATTCGTGCTGCCAGCGTTTCCAAAAGTTGTCCGTTAAGCACCGTCGGTACTTGATCCTCTTGAGTATAGGTCTGTTCTTTTGGACTGGTGCTCCGTCTCTGTTGTTGGGTCGGGCAAGCACGCCAATCTTTTCCCAAGCAATATATCTCCTGGGGTTATCGGCCTGGGCTCCGTGGCGTCTGTGCTGTCCATTGTTAGAGGTCGGGAGTTGACTATTCCTTCAACCTCGGTCAAAACAGTGGATAATTCTTCAGAGGTTAGGCATGCCCTCCCTAGCACTTTCCGTAGGGTGGTCTCTACCGTTCGCACGAGTCTCTCCCACCAGCCTCCCCACCATGGGGCACTGGGAACAATGAACTTCCATGTTACTCGGTTCTTGGCAAGATGAGACGTAAAATCTTCTTCTTGCATCGCTCCCAGGAACAGCGGCAGCTTCACAAAACTGGTCGAGTACCAGCGAAGCAGTGTTGAGCAGCACAATGGCAAGCCTGCACACGAGATCGGGGCCTGCGCTCGTGGACGGCGAGCGCGGAGCTCGTTCACTTTTTTTTATTACCATTTCTTTTTTTCGCATCGAACGCACGTCGGAATTAGAGCTCTTCAGTTTTGTGAAGCTGCCGCTGTTCCTGGGTCTTCATATCAACAATTTTTGGTGCCGAAACCCGGGAGTCAAGGTCCGGGACATCACACGAGAAGACTCATCAGCGCAGTGGATCCCCATGGAAAGGCTGAAGACTAAAAGAACGACCCGACGCGCGCAAAACACAAGACTCATCAACGAGGCAAGTGCTCTCTTACAAAATCAAGATTCAACGATTAGCCAGATTACCACCGTGGCCGAAAGATTGCGCGGCAATAACGATGAGCTCAGGAGGTTGAACGAAGAGTTTGAGGGACACGTACCAGATGGTTCGTTCGAAACCGAATTTCAGGCAGTCGTCCAATACGAAGATGAAGCGACTGCCACCATCAGTGCCCTCCAATGCAGAAAAGATCTCCTAGATCAGATATCGTCGTCTCGAGGGGCCTCTAGGGAACCTAGTCGTCACCCGAACGACACCCAAGGCAGCAGACAAGCTGGAACTAGGTTACCGAAGCTCACCATTACGCCATTCAAGGGTGAAATATCAAAGTGGTCAGCGTTCTGGGAACAGTTCGATGAAACAATTCACAAGAACGCCAGTCTGTCCACCAGCGAAAAGTTCGGCTACCTTCGAATGTACTTGGGCGGAGAAGCGGAAGCAGCTGTGGCTGGATTACCAAGGACAGAGACTTGCTACGCGGATGCAATTGAGATCCGCAATCGCCGTTTTGGAGACAAGAAACGATTGGAGCAGGAATATTTCTCCAGTCTGAGGCTGATTTCACCTGTCAAGTCAGCCAACGATACCTCAGGTCTACGAACGATGTTCGACCAGGTGCAAATCAATATACGAGGCCTCCAGACATTGGGTGTGAATAAGTCAAGTTTTTCGTCGATGCTCTGCGATATTTTGATGCGAGCTCTTCCACGTGACATCGTCGTGAACTACCACAGAACCGCTCATTTGTCTGCGGCAACTGCCATGCCTGGCCCAAGCAGCCAGCCTGACCGCTCAAAACTGGATCGACTACTTGATTTTCTAGCTATCAAAGTCGAAAGTCGGGAGAAAAGCGAGTTTAAGATCACAGAAACGAAGAACACAAAGACCACAAGATATGAGGACAACATAGCTCGACGTGAATCGTCTAGACCGACCTCATCGGTGCTCTACAACAGACCCTCACCACATAAAACGAGATGCTGTTTCTGCAACGGAACAAGCCATAGTTCTGCAGACTGTTCTTCCTCTCTTCCCCTGGATTAGAAGAAACAGCGTTTGACAAAAGAGATGAGATGCTTCAGATGCACTCTCAGTGGCTATCGAGCAAGAGACTGCAGACGAAAGATCAGCTGTGCCACATGCGGTGGAAGACACGCTAAATCCATGTGTGACCCGACGCGGATCAAAGCTAAAGAAGGTAAATCGGAAAACACAAAACAGCATGACGGTTTGTACTACATCAATTCGCCGAGAATTCAGAGAGTCCGGAGCGGTACTTCTGCAAACCTTCCGGGCATGGGCTGTCAGCGGTACCTCATGTAGGTATGTTAGAGGTGTTATCGACGGAGGCAGCCAACAGACGTTTGTCACCGAGGATCTGTCAAGACACCTTCAGCTTAAGTGCGTTGGCTACACCAAGATGGCGCTCAACACGTTTGCTTGTGCTTCAACTCAACAGTGCAAGAAGCGTCATGTAGTGGAGCTTGAACTTAGAAGCCAATTCAACATGGACGGATGCAAGATCGAAGCGATCGAAATCCCAGTGATATGTCAAGACATAGCTACCTTAACGACGGATTCAGTCTTCGTAGCTGACATGGAGAAAAATGGAAGGTTTATTGCCGATCGCCTCATGTTTCCAGCGGTTGCCGCACAACCAGGCATCAGTATTTTGATTGGCTCTGACCAAATGTGGGGCTTTATGACTGGTGAAGTCACTCGGAGTAAGACCTGCAGCACCCTTGTTGCATTAAACACCAAGCTTGGTTGGACCTTTCAAGGACGGACATCCATCCTGAAGTCACAAAAAACCCACTCGAACTTGGTCGTCTGTGTCCTGCAGATCACCGGTACAGAACAGGTCGAAGGCGCTCTCCGATCACTCTGGGAGTTAGAAAGCCTGGGAGTCACAGATTCACAAGACCAGAGGTCCGAAAAAAGCCAAGAGATGCGCCATTTCGAGCAGAACATTCGCCGGTCTGACACACAGTTCGAAGTGGCACTACCGTGGAAGGACAATATAGGTGTCCTTAAGGACAACAAGCAAGTAGCGATAACGAGACTTAGGAAACTAGTAGGTCGACTCTACAGAAATGACTCTCTAATACTTCATTACGACGAAGCAATCAGAGAGTATCTGATAGCGGGTCACGCTGAAGTAGTACCGAACGAGACAACTGGTGAAGAAGGCAGACTATTTTACATGCCACATCGCGAAGTCATCCGAGAAGATGCGCTGACGACACGACTTCGAGTTGTTTCGATGCATCCTCGCAAGCAGCTGGGTGCAAGTCTCTAAACGAATGTTTAGAGAAAGGAGACAACCTGTATCAAGACCTTCTTGGAATATTGCTGCGATTTTGGGTGAGCCGCTTCGCCATAACCTCCGACATTCAGAAGGCATTTCTGCCAATATCTGTAGCAGAAAAGGACAGAGATGCATTCCATTTTCTCTGGTTTCAAGATCTACCATCTTCGACCTTTAAAGATGAAGAGGTACAGATATGGAGGATGAAGAGGGTTCCTTTTGGTGCAACCTGTAGTCCATTTCTTCCGACGGCTACGATCCTCCAACACCTGAAAAATCTGCCGACTGAAAAGGAGGAAGTGGCTGACGTACTTCGTAACCCCTTCTACGTGGACGACTTGGTTACTGGCACAGCTACCCAGGAGGAAGCCATCAGGTTGTACCATGACGCCAAATCTATTATGCAGAACGCAGGAATGACTCTCCGAAAGTGGACGACGAATTCACAAGCGCTGAGAGATGTGCTACTTCAAGAAGAGGCAAATCCAGAAAACACTACGCCTATCCTTGAACAAAGCACAATGAAGGTTCCGGGAATTGTCTGGGATCCAGAGAAGGATGTCTTGAAGTTTGCGTTGCCAATTTTACGAAAATTCCTAGAGCTGCATGTTGGCACTAAGCGATTTGTTCTACAGGCAGCGTCTAGGATTTTCGATCCCCTGGGAGTCTTGTCGCTCTTCACAATCCGTGTGAAGACACTGTTTCAGAAACTATGGGCGAGAGGAATCACTTGGGACAGTGCTCTACCCGAGGATCTGAACAACGAATGGCACGAATGCTGTGGTGACCTGCCAAAGATGGATGCACTCGTCATCCCCAGATTCGTATTCCAAGCAGGACAGGGCAAGGACACCGAGATTCATATTTTCTGCGACGCAAGCCTAACTGCCTATGGAGCTACAGTGTACGTAACAACGAAGTCCTCGCCACCTGAACAACCTACACTTTTATTGGCAAAAGCACGGGTTGCTCCAATCAAGAAACAAACTCTTCCTCGCCTGGAACTTATGGGAGCCGTCATCGCATCGAGACTCCACAAATATCTTGAGAAGACCATCCCATGCATTCCGTATGACTATACGTTGTGGACGGATTCTCTCATCACACTTGCATGGATCAAGAGCGACCCCAGCAAGTGGAAGACTTTCGTGTCCAACCCAGTTGCAGAAATACAAAGGGACACCGATCCTTCTCATTGGAGGTACTGTCCGGGAAGTGACAATCCAGCGGATTTGCTTACCCGTGGCATCACAGGTTCTCGACTGGTGTCGAGTGATGTATGGTGGTCAGGACCAAAGTGGTTGACTGAAAACGAAAATAAGTGGCTTGATTTGAGGTCGAGTAACGAAGCAGAGACTGACTTGTTGAAAGAAGAGAGAAAAGCAGTTCATGTGATATTGCAAACAACACCACCTGAACCGATGTTGGATCTGACAAAGTACAGCGACCTCCATCGGGCTTTAAGAGTGACGGCGTGGTGCCTTCAATTTCTGAGGAACTGCCGAAATGGCAAACCGTCAAATGGACCACTGAGTGCCGAGGAAACCACTGTGGCCGAACTATACTGGATCAACAACGTTCAGAACAGTACTTACTCAGACGAGATAGAATGTCTCTCGAAGAAAGAAAATGTTCACAAACAATCGTCTCTAGCAGAGATGAGTCCATTTTTGGATAAAGACAATATCATCCGGGTTGGAGGCTGGCTTCAGATGCTGCCAGCATCGGACAATGTGAAATACCCAATCATATTGCCGAGTGAGCACTACTTCACAACCCTGGTCGTACAGAACGCCCACTGCAAGGTACTTCACGGAGGAGCACGAGACACGTTGGCGCAACTCCGAGAACGATTTTGGATTATAGGAGGGAGAAGATAGGTGAAGAAAGTGATCTTCAGCTGCTGTTTATGCAAGAGGTTCCGCCTCACGGCTGACACTGCCCCAACGGCTCCACTTCCCCTTGACCGACTGAAGCAAGGCGCGCCCTTTGATGTTGTAGGCGTAGATTTTGCAGGTCCTTTGTATGTCAAGGCAGCAAACGGCAATGTGAAGTCCTACGTTGAACTTTTCACTTGTACAGTGTCTCGGGCCGTTCATCTCGAACTTGTTTCTGCAATGTCTACAGAAGCTTTTCTAATGGCCTTTCGACGTTTCACGGCACGGATAGGGTTGCCAACAACGATCTATTCTGACAACGCACCAACATTCAAGAAGGCATCAAAGGACCTATACGCGTTGTTTAGAATAGGTCGTTGTTGGCGACCCTCTCCGTGCCGTGAAACGTCGAAAGGCCATTAGAAAAGCTTCTGTAGACATTGCAGAAACAAGTTCGAGATGAACGGCGCGAGACACTGCACAAGTGAAAAGTGCAACGTAAGAGTTCACACTGCCGCTTGCTGCCTTGACATACAAAGGACCTGCAAAATCTACGCCTACAACATCAAAGGGCGCGCCTTGCTTCAGTCGGTCAAGGGGAAGTGGAGCCGTTCGGGCAGTGTCAGCCGTGAGGCGGAACCTCTTGCATAAACAGCAGCTGAAGGTCACTTTCTTCACCAATCTTCTCCCTCCTATAATCCAAAATCGTTCTCGGAGTTGCGCCAACGTGTCTCGTGCTCCTCCGTGAAGTACCTTGCAGTGGGCGTTCTGTACGACCAGGGTTGTGAAGTAGTGCTCACTCGGCAATATGATTGGGTGTTTCACATTGTCCGATGCTGGCAGCATCTGAAGCCGGCCTCCAACCCGGATGATATTGTCTTTATCCAAAAATGGACTCATCTCTGCTAGAGACGATTGTTTGTGAACATTTTCTTTCTTCGAGAGACATTTTATCTCGTCTGAGTAAGTACTGTTCTGAACGTTGTTGATCCAGTATAGTTCGGCCACAGTGGTTTCCTCGGCACTCAGTGGTCCATTTGACGGTTTGCCACTTCGGCAGTTCTATTAGTTTGATCTATTTTCAACACCCCCATGGGTCCCGCATCGGAAATGCAGGGGCAGATTTAGTTGAGAGGCGGGCTTCAGGGGGGCACCGCTTGGGCATGCCCAATCTAGGCTGCCAATGCAGTGCACCTGTGGGTTCCCCTTCGGCTATGAAAAAGGGGGGGGGGGGGATGGAGGGCAGAGATATATCAAAAGTGGGCTCCACGGGAGCATGCGCAAATTGAGCTGCCCATGCAATCCCCCTGGGTCCTACCTCAAGTGTAGGGGGCAAGGTTGGTATAGATGTGAGCTTCAAGGGAGCAAAGCCTGGGCATGCTCAACTTGGAGCAATAAGTGCCCGAAACGGCACTTATTGCTAACATTCGGAATATTTGTTGAACGTTGTATATATTCATCATAACAGATCGGCTTACTATTATACCAAATCACTGAGGATTGTAATTTCAAGCCTGAGTGAGTAATTTATGCTTGCTAAACTATAGTACTAACTTACTACTCAGCCTATATAGACCAGTGTCCGAAATCCTAACCCCAACTACAAATCTGTGGATATAATAACCTTAAACTCAAGCTCTTGTAAAAAAAGGGCCACGCATTAAACAACATTTCTGATTGTTACAGCACTATTTGCATCGATGCTGTTCTTGGAGCTTCGTGAATATGCTTGTTCTGACGTTCTTGAACTACGACATGTGTGAATGTTTCTAAAGAAACGGAGTCCTTCGAATCCGCAGCCCCCTACCCGCGCCCACGAAACAGAGCAGACACTGGTTTGTGTTCAGAGGGCCATTTTA